GCAAGAGCCCAACTGAGGGACAGGGCCAGAGTATTGTCACCCTGAAACAGGAAGTGCCTGAACAGGACACATGGGTCTACATGCACTCCAGCGATGGCTGGGTGTCATTTCCTAGGGTGGGTTTCCTGATGATGACAACAGTGAACCATGCCTGAACAATGTGTGCTGACATGGCCACTTGTAGTCTCCATCAGAGACCATGAGACATGGTGACAATGCTGGAGCACAGTTGAAAGACAGGGACAGAGTGTTGTCACCCTATAACAGGAAGTGACTGAACTAGGCTGAATCAACATGTTTTTAAAGCTGAAATTCAGCCTTCCTTTCAGTCTTGCACAGTTGTCCGGACTCCTCTCTTGTAATGAAATTGCTTCCTCTGATTTCTCTGCACACTGTGAGTCTCTCAATGTGCATTAGAAGCTGCAGCAATTTAAAAAGAGCCCGTCCCCTCCCATTTCCTGGAGCACATCCAGCACCATCTAGCACCTGCCCCCTGCATTAGTGTCCCTGGGGGAGTGACCTCCTTTCATTGATTGGATTTCGGTTCTTTTAATCATGGAAGCTCAGCATCACATGTAGGGCTCACTCCCCCTGACGGACACCATTATACTTCAGTCCTACACCACCAACAACCACGACCGGAATTATCATTAGGCACGTGCCTACCGGCGCCTATCCATAGAGGGGAGCAATACAGGTACCTAGTCCTAATTCCCGGTGCAATAGCAAGGAGGGTGCATTCTGCTTATAGTGCACCCTCCTACCCCAAGACCAGCGGCGCCTACAGGAATAATAAATATGTCAATTTGTACAATGCATGCAAAGCTGCAAACCATCTAGATGCATACAAACCAAGGACCCAATTGTATTGTTATCAGGAGCCTAAAGGAGTTGTAAAGTCCAAGAATGCACTATCCTGTAGCGTCAGCATCGTATTAGGAATCCACACTAGAGCTGTTTTGATAATGTCTCAGTGCATATATATATATATACTGTATATACACTGAGTGGGCAGATTATTATTACCACCCCATCAGTACTTCGGTGGGCCGCCTGGTGACTCCACAAGATGTTGAAAGGTGATGCAAGGAATCTGACACGGCACTGTTGCCCTTCTGTTGTCTTGTACCAGTCTTGCCACTCTCCGTTCTGCTCTAACATTGACTAGTCGCTGACGGCCACAATTCGCACGTTCAGACCCAGATTTTCGGCTGACAGTCCAGTCTTTAAACACTTTAACAACAGCTGCTCTTGAACATTTAACAAATTCTGCTGTTTTGCTGATACTCGCTCCATGGCTCCGAGCGCCCTCTAGCAACGTCAGCGCGAAATTATAGCTAATTTGCCTACAAATGTCAAGTGGTAATAATAGTCTGGCCACTCAGTGTATATGGATATTTTTGCGGATGGGCACTCAGGCATTTACCTTACAGAGCGCAGTGGCTACCCCTGGGGCTATATACAATATTCTGTAATCATATAATTCCATATGGCAACATAGTAACATAGCATATAGGTTACATATTACAACACAAATAGCAAAAAGGCAACTTAATACTAAAACTAATCTTACTAACTACTGTGTAAAGTATACGTGTTCTATCCATTTATCTATCTATCTATCTATCTATCTATCTATCTATCTATCTATCTATCTATCTATCTATCTATCTAACATTTCATATAGCATCTATCCAATTATGCTTTTTTACATTTACTTTTTTTTTTTTGAAAAATATATGCATATGCTATAGATAGAAGATTAAATTAATAGATGAATGGAAGGATAGACAGAATACATAAACACACATATGTACACAAATGTTGCCCATATTATGACTAAGCATCTATCAGCCTCAGAAAAATATCTAGAAGATGGCTTCTTGGATTTGCATTGATATGTTGCTGTTATACATTTTTCTCCCACTCCATATAAGAGTGACATAACAGATATATATACGCACACAGTATTCATAATATATATATATATAGATATATATATCTATATATATATATATATACACACAAATATACATACAGATATAACCCATACATTCCATACGCTTTTTATTTTTCCACAACACTGTTTTCTTGGATTCGTTTCTGGCAAAAAACCTTTCCTCGGCCGGCATTTCAAAGAGAGCAGAATCTCTCGTACTCCTAAACTCTGACCAACAGTCAATAATTAATTAAAAATCTGCGGACTTTGTGAAAGCCAAACCTTCCATATTTTATCATTCTACGGAGATCTAAATATCATCTTGTTCAGCAAAGTTAGTGACAAAGTTGATCCTTCGATTGCAGTTCATTCCTATGTGTTACTTTTACATTGAATTGATTTTTTTCCATTTTTTTTTTCTGGCTACAAATATATATATAGGTATATCCGTGTACATTTTACACTTTCAACTGTCTCGGCTCATTTTAAAAGTTTGGAAATAAGCTGCAAAAAATTTGGGGAAGTGAGTATATATGAGTATATTTGCAGAAACTGCACCCAGCATCTGTTTTTTGCTGCGTATATTTCCTACGGAATGGCATGTAGTTGTGATTTTTAATGTGGTTATAAATCAACATTATATAGATTTTTTTTACTTGATGGTAAACGTATATTTAAACAGTGCGGCAGGAGATGATGGCTCATGTTGGATGTAAATCGTTCATCGTCACAATAAAACGATTACATTAAACCTGCCTCTAGGATGTTATGGATACTCATTAAGGCCACTTGGACGTGACTGGGCTCGCCAGACTTGTGAGCCATCCTTCGTACCAACAAATCTTTTATCCCCAAGAACTCTGCATCAGCGGTAACGATCGTTTTTGCCGATTAAAAAGTAAGCTTGCAAAATGCAAAAAATAAAAATGCTGCTTTGGGGTGCAGAAAAATATATAATACAGTGTAATATATTATGCTGAAGCTTTTGATTCCTAAAAAGGAAAAAAACACCCCAAAAATATGTATTCTGATTAACAAAATAGAGAAATTCCAGCTCTACTGATTGTTTCTAGCCGTGTTTATTTGTGAATGAGTGTTAAAATGAACGTTCTTTTGCACGATAAAACTGCTATTGAAACTCCTATGTTACGTCTATAGTTAGCTGAGCAATAAGGTGCTGGCAGATACCCTCTGCTTGTCAGAATTATGCTCTGGAATACCCCGAATGCCCTTGACGCCCAGGTGCGCAAGTGTTGACTTTGACTAAGGTGAAGGTCAACCACATCCTACAAATAAATTGCACTCCGGGTGGGGACAGACTTGAGCTTGGAGCAAAGTACGCCAAGTCCAGGGGTTCCCAGGTTGCGTCCGAGAATAGTCTTTTTAAAAGCTAAGGGTATGTTCCAGTGCCTTTAGGCTGTCTGGTATGGCCTACTAATGGACATTTATAAATCACGTCCTAGCGACTGGTTCACATTAAAGTTCTGTACATGCAACAAAAAGTAGAGCTTGGTTCATGTTCCTGGCGCGGTGCAGAAGATTTGTACTAAGCATGAGCACTGTAGAAGATGTTTACTTTGCACTATGTTGGACTGCAAGTAGACACAGCAAGGGCACTGTATGTGCATCGGCACCCAACAGCCGTGTTTAGCCAACTTTAGTGCTAGCCTATGTGAACAGGAATGTTGCCGGGCCAGTTTAAGATACTGTCTACTATAGGGCAAGCTTTTCGTAGCATTTCTAACTAACTTATGGTTTGACTTTCTGTTTCTTCCATTTGGATTTTTATGAGAACCATAAAGAAGAATGGGATTGCGTCCCTGTAAGCATACTCTTAATGCTATCACATACTGTACATCAATGCTATCATGTACAGTACATCCTGCCTATTTATTTAACATTCTATTTGCAGCAATGGTGGGCATTTTGCTAGAGATTCCGGGCCTGACATGTGGTCCCCAAGTTCGCCAACCAGTATAATTACTTAATGGTTAGTGTTGTGGCTTTCCAGTGCTGAGGTTTAATTCTGCACCAGGAAACCATCTCCATAAAATGTGTTTTCCCCACATTTTGCAAAGGTTTCTTCACAATATTTGAACACCGTTTCAGATATAATTAATTATGTTCCATTTTAGGAAGTCACCATCTTCTGTGGATATATCGTGACTCTTGCTTTGACTTTATACATTTATTTAGGTACCCCCTAAAATGTATCCAAACAGCCCTTTGTGTTATAGTATATAGTATAAGATGTTATATTTGCTTAAACATAAAGCTGGCATTTTTAAGTTTATTTGAGGTCAGATGTGTGCCCGGGGTACATACTCATAGACCGCTGAACTCGATGGACTTAAAGGTTGAATTCGATGGTGTACTTTTTTCAGCCTGACTAACTATGTAACCTGCTTCTGGCTAAACTGCCCTTAAAATGTCCCTTTGTGTGACCAGTACATGGCCATTTCATTGTAAGATCATTTGGAATAGATAAAACTGAAGACCTATGGAATATGTCATCACTATGTTAAAGAATATTAGTGAATGAAAGTCTATGTATAGCCCAAACTTTTTTTTAGTTTTTGATAAAGCAGGAAAAGGAGAATTTTAGGAAGGTTTTTATTGCTCCTTGCCACATAGATCTACCCTTTTGTTGTCCTGGTGACCATTTTCCCAAGTGATGGGAAATCCAAAATGTTACAGTTGTCACCAGGACAAGGAGTAAGGAGAACCTGTGTCTGTAAGGGAATAGATCTTCACTTTGAAGAGGCTTCTTCTCACTTTCTGTCGTGTCCTCAGGACAGGAAATGAAAGGAGATCTCCTTAACACAGACAGCAAACAAAAAAAATTGATAGGGTTTAACTATCCGCTACTCTGTCCAAAAAAAGTTTTGGCTATACATACACTTTAACATTGTTTGCTAGAGGTTTTTGCACTTTTAGTCTTTATTTGGAATAAAACAGATGAGCTGGACAGAATGAATGGCGGCAGATTGGTTAAAGATGTACAAAATGGCAGATGTTCAACCTGGCAATACACACAATGACAGGAATCTCGAGGCCGTACCTGAGTCAGGCAGTATGGTGAGTACATCTCTCTGGCACCGTCACACTTCCTTGATGTCTCTTGATACGTTTTCCGACTCTCTTGCTACAGTCTACGACTGTTTCATTTTGCCCGGACTTATCTTCCTTCCAGCAATCTCTCTCACTCTGGATGTCTCGCAAACGCTGTGTCTGGCTATCTCTAAAACAATTTTGTCTTTTTCTCTGGAAGTCTTCCTCGATTTCCGCACACGTTTCTCAGGCTACGTGGATTATTTCCCACATTTATTTGTGAGCTGAATTTTCTCGCTCGTCTGTCCGGGAATATCTCTCATAGGCTTTCCTGGCCGTCTCTCTCTTTGAATGTCTCTTTGTCGTCGTATGACTCTGAAAGTAAAAGTTCAATGTAAGTTTTGAAAATGAGCAGGAAAAAAAAAACCGTTGAGTTAAAAAAAGAGTGGAGAGACAGCCAGACTCGCAAAAGAGACTGAAAAGAGACATGCGCGAATCAAAGAGACAGCTAGATTTAGGTAAGAGGTGAATATAACAAAAATAGAGCACATTTTAGGAAAAAGATAGATTGGCAGTGCCTAACCAACGTACACGAGGGCTTTTGATGGGACAGTCGGACCCTTGAATGATCAATTTATTCAATATGACATACCCATACATTGGATGGTGCATGGAAAACAAATCTCCATAGAAGAGATGCACTGTTGGCATCCTTTTTTATCAGAAGAGAGTAAGAGGAATCTAGCACATGTGCAATTCAGCAGAGCCTCATTGGCTGCTAGTGGTGACCCTCCCCCAGTCGGCTGAACAGGGTATTACAGGAGGCTAACATCTTGACAAATTTAAGTATTGAAGTATGCATTCAATTATTTTGTAATAAATGCATATTTGTGTTTTCTATATCTACCTGGAATTCTGGCTTAAAGGAGAACTATGAGGTGAGTGCTTTTCACTCACCTCGCAGTTCTAGCCGACCTGTGACAATGAGACTGTCACAGGTCGGCTCAGTAGATCGGGAGGTGAGCGAACACATACCGGTCCAATCCGCCAGCGCTGACTGGCGGAACGGACGGGGGAGGGGGAGGGTACAGCTGGCTCTGCCTTTAGATAGGCAGAGCCAGCAGTCAGTCACGCAGCTGGGCGGATCCCGGCTACAGCTCGCGGTATACTGAGTCTAGGGTGACGGGAGGACGCTAGTTTGTGTCCTCCCGTTACCCTAAGGAGAACTATGGGGAAAAGCCTTAACCCCATAGTTCTCCTTTAAAGACAAAGGAATGCAACACTAGAACTATTAGTGATTTTCTACTAAAGTAATGTTTCCCAAAGCATAAGATGTGTAATATTTGCCCTCCATTGGGTGGCACACTGCAGGGCTCGGGATAAATATCATGTGCTATCATAAACTCCTTAAAATATTACACATTCGCCTATTCATAAAAAAAACATGCACCACTTTTTAAACATTCCATACTTGACGTGTTCAATGATACTAGCCTAACTTTTGGAACTACCCTCTGTAGCCAGACAGAGGGAGGAAGGGGCAGGTAATACCCCTGATTCCTCTCTAAGTGCCTACCACATCATTGATCCCATCCCAACCATCTTACTCTATTGCTTCCTATTATTTCTACGAGTATCCTTTTTTGTAGTCCGTACAGCACTTTATTTACACAGAGCCAGACATGAGGTCCTGAGCAGGCAGAACATGAGTTAACCTTTGATCCAGACGTGTGATGATCTCTGCCCTAGACTACTCTAGAAATACCCAGATGAAGACTCTTAAAATAGATACAGAAAGTTCTTTCCCCTGGTTTCCCTGCATCTCACACATTTTTCTCCTAAAGTGAATCTGTTGTGATTAAAACATGTCCATTTTAAAAGCTGCTAGTGGCTTATAGTATGAATGCTGCTGATGAATTAGCACTGATTCTTTGTCCTTTTTAAGAAGGTTAATTCACCCAAACCTTATATTTCAGTTGTTTGTACATCCTAAGGAGTTATACTACTTTTTGGTTTCTTATATCGCTTCTCATGGATTCTTTTTGGTGAGATCACTGTGCTGAGTTCCCAGGTCTGCACACTTGCTGGCACCATTTTGAAGGGTTCCAATTTTTCTTGTTTGGGTAGCATTTGAAGCATGGAGGGCATGTTGAAAGCATTTTAAAAACCGTGTTATTTTATATTATGGAAGATGCAAAAGAAGAAGCTGGGACACCAAAGGTGAGTGGACTTTACTGCGTACAGACCGCTTTACTTTCTCAAAATGCAAGTCTATGAGCTGGCCAGCACTTTGATATCCAGGCACTACCTGTATGGCTCATCTTAACCCTAACAATTAACTTTTCTTATTTTCTTTAATATGGTCTGTTGAATACACCATTGAAAGGGTTTTGATAAATATGATTGTTAGGTACAAAAATACTTGTCGACCCTGCAAGAAATCCAGTGCTGCCTTGTGTCGCGTGTTCTCTGCAGTGTTATCTCAAGCAGCCCTGCCACGTTCACCTTTGCGAACCACAGAACACCAGCTCCTATATAATGGAGATGAGGAGAGCGAGTGGTGTAGTCCCAAAACACTTCCTGTTCTAGTGTGGCAGCACTGCTCCTCTATAGCCACAGTGCAATGAGTGAGTGATATCACCCTAGGACAGGAAATGCATAACTAACAGGATCACAAGGTGAAAAGAAAGAAAACAAAGCTTGAAAAAGAAAACTAATGCAACCACTACATCTAAGGACCAGTAAGCTGCAATATATAATTTTTTTCTTTTTAGGTTTGGATATACTTTGAGTTAGAGACAGAAACATTGAAGAGAGCAACTAGGAGCTCTCTAGTCCTAATCTACAAATCTCTATATTTAATTCAATATCTATAAAAAGAAACAAAAAAGCTGGTAAATATAACTTAAAATATGTGATCACTGAAAATAAACGGTACTTTCCCTTTAATGGGGGCCTATAATTAAATGCTTTCCTCCAAGGATAAATAGGCATATAGGGTTAGTCCATTCAGAAGGTATATTTTGGTCACCTGTAATGTCTCCTAGGAGGATCTCATTAACACAGGTTTTAGCCCTCCTACGCGTCCTGACAGCCATAGGTGTTGCCACTCTTCTTGTTATATTCCCCATATAATAAAATACATTTAAATTCCAACAGGGAGGGATAGACCCCTCCATAAGGCATTGGCAGATGTGTAGACCATTAGATGGTTAATTGTTGGCCTAAATGTGAGACCCCCTAAAGAAAAATGTTAGCCCACCACTGATATACATAGCAACCCATTTTGCTACGAGCATTTAACATTACACAGTGGAGCACTGTCCTGACTGATACACAGAATGGGGTCATACATTTCCGCTTTGAAAACAGAGGCTCATAATATTAACGCAGACCATTTTGATTGAATCCTATTGCTCTGAGATACTCTGTAATACTATAAAGCGCGGCTCACTCCAGCTCTTCCACAGTAATTAATTAAGAGTCCAGATCTGATTTTGGCTGGGATTAATCTTTCCTTTCACACATGGAGATCAGTGGGAGGGGGCGTGCACAAGTAGGGGGGCACGTCTTGTCAAAATAAACACAAATACAGACGCTCAGAGGCGAGGGAGAGGGAAGAGAGAGAGAGAGGAGGGGGGAGTGAGCAGCGGCTATGACTTAGACACAAGACTACAGACCTAACTTGGCACCACAATATAATATAGCAAATTGTCATGTACCCTAACCATGGATATCTAGGGACGCAACCAAAGAATACATTCGGTCTATGAACCATCTTCCGAGAGTAGGGATTTAGGACGGGGGAGGGGGAGGGTACAGCTGGCTCTGCCTTTAGATAGGCAGAGCCAGCAGTCAGTCACGCAGCTGGGCGGATCCCGGCTACAGCTCGCGGTATACTGAGTCTAGGGTGACGGGAGGACGCTAGTTTGTGTCCTCCCGTTACCCTAAGGAGAACTATGGGGAAAAGCCTTAACCCCATAGTTCTCCTTTAAAGACAAAGGAATGCAACACTAGAACTATTAGTGATTTTCTACTAAAGTAATGTTTCCCAAAGCATAAGATGTGTAATATTTGCCCTCCATTGGGTGGCACACTGCAGGGCTCGGGATAAATATCATGTGCTATCATAAACTCCTTAAAATATTACACATTCGCCTATTCATAAAAAAAACATGCACCACTTTTTAAACATTCCATACTTGACGTGTTCAATGATACTAGCCTAACTTTTGGAACTACCCTCTGTAGCCAGACAGAGGGAGGAAGGGGCAGGTAATACCCCTGATTCCTCTCTAAGTGCCTACCACATCATTGATCCCATCCCAACCATCTTACTCTATTGCTTCCTATTATTTCTACGAGTATCCTTTTTTGTAGTCCGTACAGCACTTTATTTACACAGAGCCAGACATGAGGTCCTGAGCAGGCAGAACATGAGTTAACCTTTGATCCAGACGTGTGATGATCTCTGCCCTAGACTACTCTAGAAATACCCAGATGAAGACTCTTAAAATAGATACAGAAAGTTCTTTCCCCTGGTTTCCCTGCATCTCACACATTTTTCTCCTAAAGTGAATCTGTTGTGATTAAAACATGTCCATTTTAAAAGCTGCTAGTGGCTTATAGTATGAATGCTGCTGATGAATTAGCACTGATTCTTTGTCCTTTTTAAGAAGGTTAATTCACCCAAACCTTATATTTCAGTTGTTTGTACATCCTAAGGAGTTATACTACTTTTTGGTTTCTTATATCGCTTCTCATGGATTCTTTTTGGTGAGATCACTGTGCTGAGTTCCCAGGTCTGCACACTTGCTGGCACCATTTTGAAGGGTTCCAATTTTTCTTGTTTGGGTAGCATTTGAAGCATGGAGGGCATGTTGAAAGCATTTTAAAAACCGTGTTATTTTATATTATGGAAGATGCAAAAGAAGAAGCTGGGACACCAAAGGTGAGTGGACTTTACTGCGTACAGACCGCTTTACTTTCTCAAAATGCAAGTCTATGAGCTGGCCAGCACTTTGATATCCAGGCACTACCTGTATGGCTCATCTTAACCCTAACAATTAACTTTTCTTATTTTCTTTAATATGGTCTGTTGAATACACCATTGAAAGGGTTTTGATAAATATGATTGTTAGGTACAAAAATACTTGTCGACCCTGCAAGAAATCCAGTGCTGCCTTGTGTCGCGTGTTCTCTGCAGTGTTATCTCAAGCAGCCCTGCCACGTTCACCTTTGCGAACCACAGAACACCAGCTCCTATATAATGGAGATGAGGAGAGCGAGTGGTGTAGTCCCAAAACACTTCCTGTTCTAGTGTGGCAGCACTGCTCCTCTATAGCCACAGTGCAATGAGTGAGTGATATCACCCT